ATTATCATTTTACTCTTTTATATATTTTTCTATTGGATTTAAAATTTATTTTTTATAAAATAATTGGAGCTATGAACTCTTTAATATTTATCTTCCATGTTGTTAATACTAGATCATGTGTTGCATGCCCAATGTTTTTAATTGATTTAATTTAATTAATAGGTAATTATTAATTAGAAACACCATATTAGATTGAATTAATCTATCAAATAGCAATACTTAATAAAGGGACAAAATCAAATTAAGGACGACCGCTCTTTCAAACCAACCATAATTTGCTGGTGAAAAAACAACCATGATCTTACAATTAAAGTTTATGGATGCCTATGTATATTAAGCCCATCAATATCGACATATCAATAAAAAATCAACCGAGAATATCAATAAAGGATTTATGAAAAAAAAATTAACTAACTAGGATTCTGGATAAATTAGATATTTATTTAAATAATAACTTTAATTATCAATTTGTTGATGTTTACTTGTTCAAAATAATGGTAAGATATTAAATTCTTTTTATAGTTATTCATCAATATTCTCCTTCTATGAACTACGATGCACTCGATATGTTGATACTTTTATTTTTAAAAATTATAGGATACATTACATATCTGATAAGTGCATACACACACATAAAAAGAATTAAAAATATAATTTCAATTAAGAAAATATCCAAACTAATATATTTATATAGTCATTTATAGTAATACCGAATAAAACATAATTGTTAATTGTATTTTTATGCTAGAAAAAATTTCATTTGAGGATCTCTAGAGCAAATCTATTGCCAAAAAGGACCAAAAGAATATGAAATTGCTCTATAGGACCAATGGACCTAAATGTAATTAAATTTTTTTATAAAAAGACAAAACTGCCTCTTGTATATATATATTTGAAAAATCCCCCACTGTCACTTGGCACCATTCGGTCGCTAGCGGTCGGGCCACTACAATCGGAAACTGACAACAATTAAATTAAATTTTTCAAGATTACCAAGGGTGGATTTGAACCCCAACCACTTGGTCACCAAAAGAATTGATAATCACCAAGCTACCAATGCTTCTAAGTTACATATTGCATAAAGTTGTATATATTATCAACTTTTTTTTTATTCTCTACACCTCTACTTGTTAAGAGTTTAATGATTACTTGTCATTTCACAAATGATTATTGCTTAAATTACTTATGGAAACTTATTAAAAAATTTAATATGCACCTTTTTTATAAATATTTGCTTGCTTTTTTTTTTTGCCAAAATTTTTCTTGTCGAAAGTTTATGTGAACTTGTTCTTTCAGTAAAAGTTTAATTTTCAAATTATTAAGGCAAATTTTCAAAGTTACTAAAAGATACTTCTCATCTTACAAATGATTACTTGTCATCTTACAAATAATTGCATGTTAAATTACTTGATCTTGTTAACAAAATTAATATACAAAATTACATCTAAGTCCCACTCGACACATAATATATTACTCTAAGATCTATTGACAATTGAATTTAGGAGAATGACCAACTAATATCCATGAACTTCTATAAATGTTTGCTTGTTTTCATTACCAAAAGCTTATTTCTCAAAAGCTTATGTGAACTTATTATTTTAGTAAAATTTACTTTTCAAATTAGGGAAAACATAACTTCAGATCCTTGTACTTGCTCGAATTTTGCTATGGGTCCTTGCACTTTTTTTTGGTATACAAGGTCCCTACACTTTTTGTTTTTGATGTTTTAGATCATCTTGCAAGGACTTGTAGCAAAACTCGAGCGAAATACAGGGACCCAAAGTTATGTTTTCTCATCAAATTATTAAGGGAAATTGTCAAAGTTAGTAAATGGGGAGTTGTCATTTCATTATTGGTCACTTGTTAAATTACTAATGGGAAATTGTCATTACTGGTGCATATTAATTTAACAATTAACTATTCATAAAATGACAAGTAATTATTTGTAAAATGACAAGTCTCTTTTACAAACTTAACAAATAACCATTTACATATTAAAATATAAAAATGTGTGCATGTTACATTTTTTTAACAAGTCTCCATTAATAATTTAACAAGTAACTATTTGTAGAATAATAAGTCTCATTACAAACTTCATAAATAACCATTTTCATATTAAAATATAAAAAAACAGGTGCATATTCAATTTTTAACAAGTTACCATTAGTAATTTAATAAGTAACCATTTGTAAAATTTCAAGTAACTATTCGTGAAATGAGAACTCTCCTTTACTAACTTTGACAAGTTCCCTAATAATTTGACAATTAATTTTTTACTAAATAACAAATTCACATAAATTTGTTACCAATAAAATTTTGGTAAAAAAGTAAACATTTATAAAAATCAATATATATTAAATTTTTTAACTAGTCCCCATCAATAATTTGACAAGTAACCATCGAACTCTTGATAAGTAGTGATTAGAAAAGTAAAAAAAAATTAATAATACATAAAACTTTGTGTAACATAACCAAAAAGCAAAAGTAGCTTAGTGGCTATTATTACTTTCAGTGACCAAGGGGTTGGGGATTCAAACCCAACTTTGGCCACCTTAAGAAATTAAATTTAATTGTCACCAATTCTAGAGCTTTGGCTACCACCGATGGTGGCCAATTCTAGAGCTTTGGCTACCACCCATGGTGGTCCTATGGCCGTCACAATGGGAGATTAAAAAAAACATGAGGGCGTGGTTTTATCTTTTCATCATAAATTTTAATTACATTTTGGTCCGTTGGTCTTGCAAAGCAATTTCATATTCTTTTGACATTTTTTGGCGATAAATTTGTTTTAGAGATTTCTCATATGTGATTTTCCCTTTATTCTGTCTATACCTAATGATTTATTGCCTAGTCCCTACTAGTAATTCCCTATTTAAGATTTATATGTTAAAAGATTATATTATGATGTTTTATAGTTAAGAAAATATAATCTTTATTTTTTCTCATATCTAAAACATATTTTCTACAAAAAAATTAATCTTTGACTTCAAAAACAAATCACAAAATATATGATGAATTGAAAAATTAATATTGCAACATGTAACAAATTTTAATTTCTTAAAAATAGACTTGAAATTTTGGCTTTAAAATATTAACTCACAATCTAAAAGTATCAGATATGCATTGAAAATTATATTTTAAATTACAAAATAATATTTTGATACTTTATGGATATATGTTGAAGAAGTATCGGCATTGGATATGATACCAATATGCATACAAAAAGTAATTTGAAGAATTGGTGTTTCATAGCTCTCCCTAAAACCAATGTTGATCAAATAAATATCAACATAAAATCAATAACTAGTTGACCACTTCACAAATTACAAATAATATGACTTATATTTCTAACTTAGTCCAATATATTAAAGGTGAAAAAAGAATTACTTGAGAGATAGAGAGAGAATCAAATTACGATTGATTATATCTTACAAAAAGCATTATTTTATTTTATTTTTTTGTCAAAAAAGCATAATTTTACAATTTGACCATTATTCAATTATATGTACATCAAGTCTATTTCATTGATAACACCTAAAATTATTTTGGTTATAAATTTAATTATGAGAGTGACCGAAAGTTGCTCTCTACTTGATTCCATCAGCATATAATTAATTTATTCTCCACGTTATAGCCATCTTATTGATTAGTGAAAAGAGAGAGTAACAAATAAATTCATTGATGTCAATAGTTTAACAAAATTAAGCTAAGTGAACAGAAATACTATAAAGAGAATAACATTGATTACACCGATTTAAAAATAAAAGGATAAAGGTGTGAATTTAGCCACCAACTCGAGGAGCACTAGGTAGCCTCTAATATTTGGATGATGCAAAGAAAATTATCAACTATAAAAAATAGACTTTCCAACACCTTCCCATTAATTTTGACCAAATGTCATTTATTTCCAAACTCATGGGACCCACAAATGTGTCAATCTCTCCAATCTTCTTGTCTTTGTTCTTAATCTCAACTCGAGAAGAAAAAGCTCAAAGAGTTCTTATCTAAAGACATTTATGATAATGACACCAATGAAGTAGAAATAGAGGAAGAAGGCAAGATTTTATTTAAATCTCTAAGGCAATTCAAGCGAAGTAGCAGTTTGATTTGTGATGCTACTACATGCAGGAGAAACTTGATTCATTCACTTCATTTTTTATAAAAATAATTCATCACTAAATTTTTGTTGCTACCACAAGTGCAAAAATAATACTGAAGGTCCCTACCACTTGCCAACTTTAGTTGGGTTATTCAATTATTCTTATTCTAAATATTGAACATAATTATATTGTGCCATTTTTCCACAAAAAAAAAATCAAAAGGGATGTATAGACTTGACTTAAAAGGGTAGGGAAAAGAGAAAATGGCCTCCCAATTTTTCTTAGTCCCTCATGGTAGAGACTAAAAAATCTTTTCTTTTCTAGCATCTATTTGGAATTTCATTTTTTTATAACAAGAAATTTAGGTGGGTCAAGTCTTGTGTTCTCACTAAGATAGAACAAGCTTTTAGGCTCAAAAGTATTTACAAAGGTTTGACGCTAAAACAGAATATTGAGAGTGACAAAATTACTTTAGTTTTATTCTTAAATCAATGAGAGACGATAACAAGATATGACTGAAGGTATGAGAATAACAAAAGTATTGATAGTGAAATTATGAAGAAATTTTTTTTTAAAAAAAGGCACATGTATACAATTTGATAAAAATCAGCAATTTGAGTTCTTATTTTTGTCGTTCCTGTGAGTCTATCCAACATGGGAAATCTTTGCTTTCATTTCTCCTCCTGCATTTTCTCCATGCTCTGTCTCATGGTTTGCCCATCTTTATGTCATTCCAATTTTACCCTCGATGGATTGACACTTCTTGCTTTCAAATCTTCTATTAGGGACCCTTACAGTTACTTGAAAAATTGGTCCAACTCATCATCTTCTTTTTGCAACTAGTTTGGAGTCACATGTGATTCTAACAATGAGAGAGTGAGAATCCTAAGTCTTCTTGAGATGGGTCTTGAGGGCACCTTACCATCACAAATTGGAAATCTGTCTTTCCTAGAAAAACTTAAATTACAAAGCAACAACTTTCATTGTGGGCTGCCAAAAGAGTTGCTTCAATTGCACAAATTGGAAATTCTAAACTTGAGTTATAATGCACTTAGTGGAGAAATTCCAACTTGGATTGGAAGCTTGTTTATGCTTCAACACTTGAGTCTTGGCAATAATAGTTTTGGAGGTCTCATTCCTCCAAGCATATCCAATTTGTCTAAGTTGGAGACATTGGATTTGAAGTCTAATTCTATCAACGGATCTATTCCATTGGATATTGGAAGACTACAACACCTGAAAGTTTTATGCATTTCTAGAAACATGCTTTCAGGAAGTATACCTCCATCTAGCTCTATCTTATCATCACTTGAACACATTTCTTTGTCTCTCAACTTCTTAGAAGGTATGTCTTGTATAATATATATGTGATGATATAAACATTTATTCTATGTCAAAATTGATGAATTTATCATTTTTTGTAATTTTTTATATCAGTCTTATATGTGATGTCAATCTAACTTGGGGCGTGCTATTTACTTTGTCTTTTCAAAGTTAGTCCTTGAACCGAAAATTCTCAAACATTTAACAATTACATGAAACAAATTAACTATACCTCTATAATTAAGCTATCATCCTCAGAACAAATTTGACTATTCTTAAAAAATTATGCCTTGAATGATTTATCTCTGACAAAAGATATTATTGTTTAAGTAGACAATTTAATTAAATGTTACTGGGAGTTCTCTTTCAGCGAGGCACTTTTTTTTTTTTTTACGCAATAATTTTTGGAATTCCTTTTGTACACTTCAATTTTCATAAGTTGATGCATGTATATCTGCATATTATCTGGTTGGTAATATTGACTAGAGACCAAATTATTGAATACATGTATGAGATACAACAATAATTATTCCCAGAGTCATATGTTTTACTCTTTCGTTGAATAATACTTTTTATATAAGCACTCACGAAAAAAGTACAAGTATATTTTTTGGCCATATGTAGGACATATTCCCAAAGAAATGTATAAGCTTACAAATCTGAAAAATATGTACATTGGTATCAATAAGTTGTCAAGGCAAATACCAGGCATAGGAAATTTGTTCATGCTTGAAAATTTATATCTTGCAAGCAATATCCTCCAAGGTACATTTTTAACGAATCATAAGTTTTTTTACTATTGTTTGCTTTTCTTTTTTGGGACAATTATGTATAGATCCTGTGGAGCATATTTATTTATAAATAAGATCCATGTAATTTAGAAACTACAACTAGTCCCTTGGGATCTCATACCCTTACTTGTAATGCATGATTAGTTTAACTATTGGATACGTAAAGTTATAGTTATAAAAAATTAAAGTAATACTTTTAAATTGTTGTAAACAATTAATGTTAAACTTTGTTAGTAACATATAAATATGTGAAGTTATAGTTGTATAATGTTGATGTGATAGTTATAAATTACTGATAAGGTAGTTGTATACAATTAGTATTAAACTTGCAATGCATGATTAGTTTAACTATTGGATATGTGAACTTACAATTGTAAAAAGTTGAAGTGATAGCTGTAAATTGTTGATGATATAATTGTATATTACTTAATTGATATAATGTATTTTTAATAGGGACATTATTTTCTTTCCACCTTAGTTTCAAATTATACTCATGTCCCAAATTATACTCATGTCCCGAGGGACCTAGCTATGATTTTTTATTTTTTATTTTTTGCTCTCACACCTAGTATCTTGGGGTATTCTAGGTTCATTGCCCACCCCAAACTAGTCCAGATCCATATTCTATGGACCTTACGGTGGAAGATAGGTACCAATGGGATGACCTCTTTGTGGTTGCTTTAATTATTGCTTTTTGTCACCCCGAAGGATTCGAACACTTGTCCTTGAGAGTGCCTTGATTTTTAAATTTTGTGGGACTTATTTATAAAAAAGTTTGCTCTATGAGCGAGACCTATACATAATTTTTTCTTTATTTTTTAACGAGAATCATTAGAAACAACTTTTTTGAGTGACCATAATTTTTGGAGAAGCATCCCTTCAAATATATGTCAAGTTGATGATTTCAATGGTTATATTTAGAAGACAACATATTTTCATAATTCTATACTACAAAATAAATCAAGGACCCATTTGTTTATGATTAAAAAATAAGTGAGTTTTATATCATTTAGAAATTTAAAAAAAAATGAAATTTGTTTTTAGAGATTTTATAAAAAGCATATATTATTTTATGTTTGACTAAAGTAATGAAAAGTGAGTATTATTTAGTTATTTTTATATTTTTATGATATCCTCATGGATCTCTATTCATAAAAAAATATTATTTTGTTATTTTAAAAGGGCAAGACTTAGGTACTTAGCCTTATATACTTAATATATAGTACTTGCATCCAATCAAATCAAACAAGTGGAATTTAATGTGTTAGTAATATTAATAACAAAAAATATTGTAGAATAAATTATATATAAATGATACACATGGCTTAATTTAATTAGAAACAAGCACCATAACATATAATTTTTTTTTATTTGTTAGTTAATGATATCACGGCAGGCTCATTAATGCCTATCGTGGAATAAATAACTCGAGGCTGTAACGACTTTTTAAAATTATTACTTCATGATATCACGACAGGCACATTAATGCCTATCGTGATATCCATCACGCGCAAGTTTTTATAATTTTTTAATTATGATTTAATAATATCACGACAGGCACATTAATGCCTGTCGTGATATCCATCACCATTTTTAAAATAATTTTTTTAATTATGTATTAATGGTATCACGACAAGCACATTTATGCCTGTTGTGATACCCAATAATTTTTTTAAAAATTTTTTGTTTTTTATTCACGAGGCTATGTAATCACGACAAGCACATTAATGCCTGTTGTGATTGCCCAATCATATGCTATGATAGCATATGGCCTATCGTGGTATCCAATAATTTAAAAAAAATTATTTTTTTAATTTGCTTGGTCGATTACAACAGACCATTTAATGGCCTATCATGATACCTTTTTTAAATATTTTTTTAATTGTATCAAGGTCATTTAATTTATTTAAAAAATTTTTAACTTATTTATATATATAACTTAAATTTGAAATAATTATTAATTAAATTTTTTATAGTTATAACGTCATTTGTTTCTTTTAACTGTGGTTTTAGTTGTGTAGTTTTTAGCTTTAATTACTAACATTGCCATTGAGTATGTTATAACCATAGTTACTTCTATAACTGTGGTTAAAAGTGTGTCATTAAAACTCTCTTTTGCACTAGTGCAAGGAAGAGGAGTTGAGTGAGCTGCCATAATTAATTAAAGGCTAAGAATCTTCCATTAACAATACTCTAAGGTTCCTACTTAAATTGGGAAGCCACTTCATTCATAGTTAGGTTAGTTTGCTAGTTAAATTCACTAGATAATTAGGTTAACAATTACTTAATCAACTTCAAACTTTGAGTGATTTATTTCACCAGAAAACTTTAAATTAGACTTAAAATCATTCCTTGAGAAATGACCTAGGGTTGGCCCTATATTGCATTAGGGTTAGCTTTAGTTTAATTTTGAAGGCAAGCGATAATCCCTATCAAAATGATGAAGTTTACATTGTGTATTGCTACATAAGTTATGTACAATTTGAACTAGCTTAAATTAAACTAATAAGTGGCCAAAATAAAGCTTCATCTCAAAAATTGGCCAAATAGGTATAACTATATGTATGTCAACTTTAAATATATACCAACACCATCTAGTCATTCACTATTGTTGGTTGTTATAGCTAAACCACGCTTGGAAAATGCCACGTGCTAGCTCTTCAAGGACTTCTTCCATTTGACCCTCAGCAAATATGTCACAGTATGCATCCTTGTAGTACTGATTACAAAAACAACAAATAAAGTCATGTTAATTACTAAAAATATTATAGGATGGAGAAAAGGTTGACAACATATATACATTGTCTGGAAGAGTCCTAACAGGAGCATGTTGAATTATGTCCTTCATATATCTCATGATAGTATACCAACAATCCCTAGCTTTGTCATGTTGTTTCGGGCACTACGATCGCACATTGGATAAAAAATCCGATCAGTTAATAATATGACATGACATGACTTATATTTATGTTGTAAACACGTAATTAATTATAAATACATATACATTGATAATTGTCCATGATGTCACTTTATCAAGTCAAACACTACCTATTATTAGCTATCGAGATTACTGATCGACCTTAATGCGGTATATGACAATGGCTCTAACATGCAATATAAAGTTAATGTGAGAAATATGCATATAGAATGAATGAATTACATATATATATGCACAAAACTTAATGAACTTACTGATTAATCATCTCTCCTATATGCAGTTTGTTGGTCAGATCGCCACCTCTAATAGGGTCGAGATACAATACTCTCCCTATAGTTAGATTGATCACAAGTATCATCTAATGCCCCCTATAATAATGATTACAATTAGGAAGTGTCATAATTTAATTTTGAAGAAAGTAAAGTATCGCAAAATGATTTACCCTTGACAATAAGGTGTTGTGAATATTTTGTTCTTATTGTTACCACATTGCTCAAAGTATTTAGAAAACCTTTAAGCTATGTCTAATCCTTGCTTAGAACTCATTGTCTCATGGCTATAAGGAGAGACCAAGTGGGGATTGATGAGTATAACCCTCTTTGCTACATCTCGTTCGGCAAGCATAGTGATGTATAGGTTTCTTAAGTAATGTTAACATAAGTTGATTAATAAATGACTAAAACATAGATATTGGTAAATATTTAATGTAAGGTTTTAGAAACATACCTCATATATAAGTTACAGAAAGTAGTGGTAGCCTGTGCATGGTTGAATAAGTCAATCAAAACCTTATTATTGACTTGATCAACAGACTCTAGATCTCTATACATTGCTGTAGGGACAGGAAGCATTACTTCTTCTTGCATCTCTTCATAAGACTTAAGCAACTTTCGGTGTTTGTTGGGTGTGACAAATTGATGCAAAGGTGTTGATTGAGAGGCTTGAGGCATATGGGCTTAAGAGAGAGCCTTCAGTGCATTCTTGGGAAATGTGATGGACTCTTTAGATTTGTTAATAGAGTTCTTATCATTTCCCCTCTTCTACTTATTATTCGCCGATGCCTTCATAGCCTCTGGTGCTTTTTTGCCACAGGCTTTCAACATGCTAGTTTTTCACATATATGTAGTTAGAGATCAACTACAAATAAATTTTAGTTATGAATTTAGCTATTATACATTTAGAGATGGCACTGAAATATGGATAAGATGAACCAGTCATGCTACAAAACTTTCGATTGCATCTACTACTGTCCTTGCACCTTTAGTAGGGTGAGGTAGATCATAATTAGGCTTCTCAGCCGTCTTCAAAGAAACCTTGACTATCCTTTCAGGGAGTATCTCATTGTGAAGCATGATTTACCTAGTAATGTTGTACATTCATCTCAATACAACCAAACTGCCATCTTCCCCCAAGCAATCAACATCAGCCTCACCCTAAAAGAGAAAATCATAATATAATATGAATCATATTAACATGAATAAGGCTAGAAATATCACTAATAAAACCTCAGGTAGGAACTGAGATGGGACTATGCAACTGTCATTCATACTATGGCTAGCATCACTCAATGGAAGCCCTAACTTATTTCGGTTCAATAACATGTCAATGAGTCTAGATTGCTCTTGTATCTACTATGACTGTGCTTATATCTGTTGCTTCTATTCTATTAGTTCTTGCCTCAGTTCTTGAACGTCAGTTCTTTGTGACACTAAAGCCAACGCCCCAAACATGACTAAGATGGTCAGTATTCCCTAATACCTTCTCTAAGATATCCTTATCAGCAGTAAGAGTGCCTACTAATGCCTCTTGAGTTAAGCTCTCATGTGAAGTACTAAAAATAAGGTAAACAAGTAAAAATAAATAATTAATAAATTATATCATTAACGCTTACTATTGTGTCAACAACCGCCTTTATTTTTAGATTGTCAATATTGCCTTGTTTGTTCTTTTGAGCCTTAGTCCAAATCTTGCCATGGGATATAGAACCCTCTAGCACCTGCTCTTTTTCAATCAAGGCCTTTTCAAAATTGGCATACCCCTTGTGCCTAGCCTTATAAGTGTATTCATTCTTCTTCGCTAACTCTTTGTTTTTGGTGATTAATACCTTTAAAAACACAAAACATGACAAATAAATGGAAATAAATGGCAAGAAAAGCAATAATATTTTGATAAAATAATAAAAATAATACCTTAAACTTAAGATTACGACGTGAGTCATAAAATCTTTCCACTCATTCAAATTTACAATCGGCCTAATAAGGGGAGGAACTGTGTCTTCGATGCCCTCTATATCGGGGTTCTACAAGAATTTAGAGGGGATAAATTTAAAAACCTCTAAAAGCTTGGAGGGCTGCCCCAGCCTTTTGTAGGACATACTTCTTGTGCCTCCCCTTAATCTCAAATCCCAACTGTAAAATAAACAAGTAAACTTGTGAGGAGAGAGTATATATCATAAAGAAGTTTAAAATAATAATTAAAGTGATAATATCTTATTATTATAGTATTACATACTGCATCCCTTATTGCGGGAGTTGCATTCTTCCATGACTTTAGATTGATAGGCACACAAGACTTCGCTGCCACCCCGATGTAATTGATGAAATTATTACTATCAACTATTTGATTTTTATTATTCTGCTTGACAGTAAACTTCTTGCTTTTGTCACCTACTCTATCATAACCAACCCCTTCTTTAGTTGTTCTTCCTCCTTATTAGTCACATTCTGCCCACTATCATCATTTTGCCTGATAGGACTACTAGATTTAGATCAAGTATCTACATGAGCACCTCGGCAGCCATTT